TCCAAGTAGCCAGAATTACAGGCATGCGCTACCACGCCCGGCTGATTTTTTGATTTATTGTAGAGATGAGGTCTCGCTGCCCAGGCGGGTCTCGAACCCATGGCCTCAGGCATTCCACTCACCTCAGCCTCCCAAAGGTGCGGGATTACAGGCTGAGCCACCGAGCCCGGCTTGTTTACCTTTTTCTAGACCCTTGGCAACTCTAGAGAACAGTGTGCTTTGGGTAACTCTGTTGGCCATGTGATAATTACTCATCACATTTTTCCCTCACCCTCCCCCTGAATGAGTTTTGGTTTCTTTTCTAGACTGAAGAGAGGCCCCACCATGAATAGGATATTTATGCCTCTGTGCCTTTGTGTGTGCAGTTTTATTTTACCCTGAATGGCTGTCATACTTGTCTTACAACCTGATTATCAGAGTCCCCTGGTCTGCAAAATGCCACTTCCTTCAACTGGATCTGACCCACTTTTCTGTTTCCTGGCCTTCTCCAAATCTACCTTGCACATTACTTAAAAACAAAATTAGATGGGTGTGGTGGCTCACACCTGTAGAGGCAAGAGGATTGCCTTAACCCAGGGGATTCAGACTAGCCTGGGTAACTTGGCAAGACCTCATCTCTACAATAAATAAGAGAATTAGCTGGGCGTGGTGGTGCAGGCCTGTAGTTCCAGCTACTTGGAAGGCTGAGGCAGAAGGATTGCCTGAGCCTAGCAGGTTGACGCAGTGGTGGCCATGAGTGTTCCACTGAACTCCAGCCTGGGTGACAGAATAACACTCCGACTCAAAAAACAGACAACAAGCTGGGCTCGGCGGCTCAGCCTGTAATCCCGCAACTTGGGAGGCTGAGGTGAGTGGATTGCCTGAGACCGCAGGTTCGAGACCTGCCTGGGCAACTTAGTGAGACCTCATCTTTACAATAAATCAAAAAATTAGCCGGGCGTGGTAGCGCATGCCTGTAATTCCAGCTACTTGGAAGACTGAGGCAGAGGGATTGCCAGAGCCCCAGCAGGTCGAGGCTGCAGTGGCTGGGAGTGGCCACTGCACTCCAGTCTGGGTGAATGAGACTCCAACTCAAAACAAAACAAAACAAAACAAACATCAACAGTTATTCAGTAGATGAGTTGAAGGAGAGCATGGCTATTGCTGAGACTGGTATCAGTGGTCTGCATGACCAAAATCTTCAAATAGAACAAATGTGATACAAACCATGAGGGAAGAGAAAAGAGACACAGACAAACCAAGGGACCTGAAATTAGGACAATAAGTTGTTCAGAAGGAGAAAACAAAAAGATGGAGGAGGGCAGTGCTTGACTTATAGGTATGGCATACCTCCCTAGAAAAATTATACATACAGGTAGCCACGTTGTTACAAGTTATCTGGACATTCCCAGCATTCTCCACACAAAATCCATTTTCCCCATGGTCACCAACTGGCCTGGAAGTACCTCATGAAAGAGAAAACTTCCTGATACTGGTTGAAGACTGAACAATAGCAGTTAGCAACTATGTCATTAACTGTCAACAGGGAAGAACTTAGGAAAGAATTAAAATTCGTGTTGAGGATGGAAGAAGGGTGTTGATGGCTTCTAGCTGCTGTGCACAGGGATTTTGTGGGCGCCCAGGAGCGAGGTTGGAGGAGATGATGACAAGACAGTTGGTAGTAATTATCCCCATGTGGTGGGCTCTCTGCTGATTTTGACCATCTCCTCCATACTTTTAGTCATATATATATATCTTTTTTTTACAACAAACCTATATTTATATAATCAGAAAAAAAGCAAGTTTTTAATTTTCATTGTGAGATGGGAAAGGCAAGATGTAGTACTGTGTGTGTTGTATGAGTCCTTTGTGCAAAAAAAAACTATAAATGGTTATTGACAGGGTGGTTTTTTCTTTTCTTTTCTTTTTTTTTTTTGAGTTGGAATCTCACTCTGTCGCCCAGACTGGAGTGCAGTGGCCGTTCCCGGCCTGCTGGGCTCCGGCGATCCTTCTGCCTCAGCCTTCCGAGTAGCCAGAATTACAGGCGTGCGCTACCACGCCCGGCTGATTTTTTTGATTTATTGTAGAGATGAGGTCTCGCTGCCCAGGCGGGTCTCGAACCCGCGGGCTCAGGCAATCCACTTACCTCAGCCTCCCAAAGGCGTGGTATTACAGGCTGAGCCACCGAGCCTGGCTCATATTTATTTTTTAATTAATTATTATTTTTTTTGAGTTGAAGTCTCACTCTGTCACCCAGACTGGAGTACAGTGGCCGCTCCTGGCCACTGCAGCCTC